TCCCATTCAAATCTTGTCTTCTTTTTGATTGCTTGGAAAAAATAGAGGCACTTGTCACCTGACCGGCTGAGGAATCTCCCCAATGCCACCAAACAACTGGTTAATTTTTGAACCTCTTTAACAGTGCGGGGTGACTTCATGTCAATTACCGCCTATACCTTTTTTGGATTGGCCTCTATTCCCCTTTAATCAATAAAAAATCCGAGAAACTTTCCAGACTCAACACCAAAGACACACTTCTTGGGATTAAACATGACCTTATGCCGCTTGAGGGTGGTGAATGTTTCTCGAAGGTCAGCAAGGTGATCCGTCTGTTGCTTAGATTTGACTATCATGTCATCTATGTACGCCTCTACATTCCTCCCAAGTTGATAAACGAAGACTGTATTAATTATTCGTTGGAAAGTAGCAGGCGCATTTTTCAACCCAAATGGCATCACAGTATAACAAAATAACCCTTGATCAGTGACGAATGCCGTCTGCTCTTGATCTTTTTCCACAAGGGTATCTGATGAAAGCCTGAGTTGGCGTCCATAAACCTCATCAAGGCATGACCGGCTATAGAGTCGACCAGATTGTCGATCTTTGGGAGTGGATAACTATCCTTCGGACATGCCTTATTCAGATCTGTGTAGTCAACACACATGCACCAGGTACCATTCGGCTTTTTGATAAGAACAACATTTTCTACCCAATCTGGGTAGTAACATTTTCAAATGAACCCAACATCCATCAGCTTCTTAACCTCAGCGGCTGCCGCCTGAGATCTCTCTTCACCGTGATTTCTCTTCTTTTACCTAACAGGCTTCTTTTCGGATCAACGGCGAGTTTGTGGATAGCGAGATCCGGGCTGACGTCTGGCATCTCACTACAAAGGCAAAAATGTCTTTAAATTCTTTCAGCAAATGGTGCAAGTTTGCACTCAATTGTGCAAATGCAGCCGTCCCAACCTTAACAGTTCGCTCCGGATGTGTATCGTCTAGAATGATGTCAATATGTTCACTAGCCGGTAGTGGACGGAGATCATCTAACCGTTTCCCGGTCAGTGATTGCTATTGCTTCTCTTTTTTTATGGCCACCAACTGGTCCCGTGCTTGACGTCTGAGGGATAACACTCCCGTGCCGTCTTCTGATCCCCATTAAGTGAACCCACTGACCCATCATCCCTCTCGAATTTCAGCAGCATGAGGGATGGGATGAGGATAACCTTGGATTCGTTGAGGGTTGGACGACTTAATATCAGATTATAGGCAGTCAATTCTTCAACAACCAAGAATTTGATGACCATATGACGTCTTTCCCCCTTCTCTCATAGCCGGATGGGCAGGTCAATCCTCCCCACCGGATGCAAATCCACCCCGAAAACCAACTAAGGGGTGAGAAACTTTGTGCATACTACTAGGCTTGTACTTGAGCTTTGCCAAGCACTTGTAGTTGATAAGGTCAGACGAGCTGTCGGTGTCGATAAGGATCCGGCCTACCCTCTGGTTGGCCACCTTGCATTCAATGACTATGGGGTCATCATGCAGCCGCCTGACCTTGCCCTTGTCCTTCTCAGTAATAATGACCTTAGGAAAGGTGTCTTTTGACGCCTGGCCCTCATCAATTGAGTTAACATCCAGCCGCCTGATATAGTCCTTAATGCCCCGGATGGTTAGACCCCCTCCAGCAAAGCTGCCTACTATTGTATAGATCGGCTCTTCATCAGTGTCCAAACTAATAGCAAGTTGGGCTGCCTTTTTGGACGGATGTCCACTGTTTGTTTTCAGGGTCACCTTGGACTTCAGAATGTAGGATTTCAGCACCCCTTTATCATCCAGATGGTCTAACAACCGTTGAGGCTATAACAATCGTTGGTGTCATGGCCTATGTCCTCATGGAAATGACAGTATTTGTTCTTGTTCCGATTTTTAACGGAACCTTTCATTGCAGCCGGTTTCTCAATTGTCACCCGATCTTTAATCTCCATGAGGATGGAGTAGCAGTCCTTATTAAACTCGTACTTGGGGACGTACAGTTTTAACTCTTTCTTTTTCTTCTGGGATGGCTGATCAGAGTTATCAGCCATCCAGACTTCTTTTCATTTCTTGCTCTCTTATTTTTTAGCTAGCTAAGCAGACCGACTCTCTTTTTTGTCAGACATTTTAGGGTCCGACGACTTACTGATGGTACACAGCTCAGTCACCTGTATATAGGTTTTCGCCTCCATCAAAGCTTCTTAGAGGGTAGCAACCCTCTTCCTGACGAGATCAAACTTAAAGGTCGACCCGTCTTTCAGACCCTTAAAGAAGTCTGTGTGAGCCACTTCGTCAGACAGACCTTAAATATGTATTCTCATCAGATTGAACCGCCTGACGTAGGACCTAAGCCCTTCTCTATCTCCCTGTTGTATAGCACCCAAGTCTAGACTTGTTTTCTTTGCAGGGATGTTCATGGAGAAGTTGGAAGCAAACAAGTACGCAAGCGTCTTGAAGCTGTGTATGCATCCGGCTGGCAGGTTGCCAAGCCATCGTTGGGCAATGCCCTTCAATGTAGCCGGGAAGCATCGGTCAACCCCTGTAGGTACATGAGGTTGGTGTAAGTCATTAGGTGGTCTTCTAGGTTGGTGATACCATCATAAGTACTTACCAACACATTCTTAACCTTGGCCGGCTGGGCCGCCTCGATTATCTCCTTGGAGAACGCAGAAGGCTGTCCCCCAAGTTTGAGCAGACGAAGCTGCCAATCCAAAGGTAGGACATTCTATGCCGCCTGACCCCCAAAGAGAGCCGGCTACATATATGGTTGCCCATACGACATGTATGGCTGCTGAGGCACATAAGGAGCCGGATGGATTATCTGAGGGCCAGAGTGGACGGATAGGCCGCCTGATTGACCCTCTTGGTTTGATTTCAAATACCTCATCGAGGTATTCTGAAAGCTGTCTAGGTAAGTCAACGTTGAGGCCGACTCAGACATTTGTTGACTTTTCTTTTGCTCGATTAACATCCGGGCATCTGAATAATTTTTCTTTGATCCATCTGGCTGAACTTGCCGGATAACCTTCCTCTTCCCTATTTCAGGAAATTGAATTTTAGACAGATCAACCATGGGCCAGTCCCTCTTCTTTGGTTTAGGATGAGGAGTAGGCACACGATCTTTAATAGGCTTCTTCTTCCCTAAGGGAGAAGGTTTCTTGGCCGACTGACCCCTGTTGGTGCCAGCCGTCTTATTGTTGATCAGATCTTTGATTTCCCCTTTGAAACTTGTCATGAATTCCATGAGCTCGTTTTGAGTAACAGGGGCGGTGCCTTCTGCCACCTGGGGTTCAGACGGCTTTGCGGCTGGCTCACTTGGGCCAGCTTGTTCAATGCCTCGTTCCTTTATTTCTAAAGGACGGGTGCGCCTTGTTCTAAGTGACCTGTTTGGGGCCACATAGGTGTCGACGTCGAAGTCGTCACCACTATCTTGGTATGTATAGACCTTAACTTCGGCCAAAGGCCGTTTCTCATTAGCAGGTGATACAGACTCATGTGAAGCCATCTTTAAAACACTCTCTCCACAAACGACGCCAAATGTTTCGGGGTTTTCTGTGTCTTGTGGGAGAGTTACAATTCCAAGACTGGATTCCGGGCGCCTGTACCTGCAAAACAACGGAGACTCCGGTTGGGTGGAGTTTCGCCTCTGACGATCAAGTTAGAATGTGTGTGGAGTCTGTAAAAAGTGCGAAAAGTAAAGTATCTTCTCGGATTCCGAGTGAATATCTGCAATTAATGATTGCTCTATTTTTGTGAATATTTCTGAATGTATCCCATGATGGGATCATCTCCCTATTTATAGGGTCTCGAAATACGTGTTGCCATCCTAGGTTACGGAAACCTAGGAATGGTGGGCTATCTCGGGAATTGGGCCATGAAGGCCACCTTTTTCCCAATGATTGGAGATGCCACGTGTCAGCAGGGGATTGGTTCTCTGTGAACCTCTCCTGAGGTGACATGTGTCGCCATCTCATTGGGCCAAGTGGTCTTGGGTATTTTTACCCTAAACAAGATTAGTGATCGATGGATTGTGAAAGTTTAAGTTCATGGAACGGGTTTTCACGTCCAAAACTGAACGGATTGTATCAAACACTAAAAACTTGAAAATTTACTTAACACCCAGGGACTGGATCAATTATGCTACAAATGGATTCAAATTAGGGACCGATAAAATATGTCCAACACTTGAATCAAACTAATTTTAGATTTTTGTAATACGACAAAATTTTTAAAATAATATGGATTTATAAACACGTTTAATAAAAGAAAGTTAATTGTTTAATGTCTGAAAATAACTCATAATATAAAATCTGCAAAATTACATTGAAGGAGTAAATTAGTTGTAATTATTTTTGAGGTTTTTATGCACAATTTTACAAAAAATACCAATCCACTCCGAGAATGGTTTCTAAAGGTTTTTCAATCGTGTCGGGAAAAAATTTGAAAAGGAGAAATTGTTAAAATCCTAACAAAGCACACTACGACACATGTCCAGTTGACTTATTAAATAGGTTACCTGTTTTTCATTCTATTTTGAGCAGATGTTTGTTAAAGTTCGTTTTATTTTGGAATAATGGAATGGTCGCTTTATTTTAGAATAATCAAATGGTTATTTTATTTTTGACAAATTTTCCAATTAAAAATGCATATTTCTCGACCTTGAAACTAGACAAGTCTCTTTAGTTTGGTCTACAATTGATCTAATTTACTATGTAGTTTATTTGTACGATCTAGACGGATTCTTCAGCACCCTTATGACCTTACCCATTGATATGTGTAAACTAAGCTACTTAGATTAACCTGATGGCTTGGACAAATTGAGTATGTGTTTAAGTGTGTGACATAATCATCTTATGACGTATTTTATATTTGATCTATAATTTTAAATACCTAAACCTTTATCTTATTTGATACGACTATATGGGCATTGTTTTTTAGTGCTATCCAAATGGTAACGATATCGATTTCCATGCACATCTACTAACCATGACAGATGGCAAACTTACAACACATTGGACATTTGATGATTTCAATGCACAAGCGCACCGCCAGTTTTGTTGTGAGTTGTGACCCAAAAAAAAAAAGCGAGAAACCAAGATGAATTGAAGAGTTCTCAAAGCTAAAAACTTAAAAAAACCCCACAAAAATGGCAGAACCCAATAACCCGAAAACCCACCATGAACGCCCAAAACCATCTACCCCACAATCAACATCTAAATCACCGTCAACAAAACCCTCAATTGAAGCTTACAACAATGGCAGCACCATTAATGGGTCTAATTCGGGTCAAAGGGCCCATTTTCCAAACCCACCCGAATCATTCAACCCGGATGCTGCAACTTTGAGAGATCAATGGAGGTTTGCTATAAGGCAATACAGCAGATGGTATTCTCATGCTTGGGGTACTGCTATTCTTGCTGGTGGTGCCTTCTTTGCTCTTGGTTGGATCATCAAAGGTGGTAACCCTCTTCCTTCTAAAGAATCTGATCATAGAAAATCTGAGGGTTCTTCAACTTCTGCTCAAAATCAAGGAGAAAAATGATATTCTGGGGTTAGTACTTGATCTTGTTCCAATTTTGTTTATGAACTTTATTGTTTTACTCAATTTGTCAAATGGGGTTTTGTTTTCCTGGGTATTTTTGTAGGGGAAATGTTATTTGGGGCGTTTTCTGATTGGAAGCTTTAATCTTGATTTATTGTGATTTGAGTAGAGTTGTGTGATGTGTAATATACTAGTATAATGGGAATGTTGTGTTGTTTGCTTGTGAGATTGGTGATTTAGTGGGGTAATTTGAATGTTTGATGATTATGTTTGGTTGTGAGATTGTTGATTTGAGTAGGCATGTGAAAGTTCAGGGAGCCCAAATGCCCAATGTATATGTGTAAACTAAGTTACTTGGATTCGGCATGAAGGGTCTATGCAACTATCTTTTTTTTTTTTTTTTTTTTTTTTTTTTTTTTTTTTTTTTTTTCTTTTTTTTTTAATCGAAAATGAAGTGTTAAGTGTCATACCCATGTCCGAGTGTTGATTATCCTGTATAGGCAGTTGAGGCAAAATGAAGGGTCAGGGCTTAGGATTAATGTAGTAACTATTTGTATTTTGATGATATTGTCTTTAATTTTGGGCTTGAATTGCTTATCATTTAGACAAGTTTGATGAAAGAGCAAGTCTTTGGTTTAAAGATGATTGTGCGGGTAGACACGACTGAGGAGGGAAGGGGAAAATGGAATGGTTTAATCATTATTTTAATAACCTAACTTTTTTGTCTTAGGCATGTTTATAGCTGTAACGATGTTATGCTTCGTGGATAGGTTGGTTAGGGGGCGGCTAGGGAGATCTTAGCAGAGAGGGGTTGGATAGGTAGAGCCTCTCAGTGTATGAAATTAATATGCTCTCATTTCCAGCTTTTCAGGGGAACCCCAAACATATAGCTAGTTCTCTTTCAACAGTGTCTGTGTTAGTTTAAGTATTGTGCAAGATTTTCTAGGACTGTAGCTCATGATTTCTTCTAATCTTATGCATCTGTGTTCTGCTGATTACTTCACTGACCACACTGCGCCTACCCCAAGCTTTTGAAGGTTCCTATTGTCTTAAGGAGTTAGCTTTTGATGTGAGAACTGAGGAAGTAAGAAGTATATGTGTCCGTAGTATGTAAAAGATCATTAATTGGTGGATCCTGTAGATTGTTTATCTTTCTAAATTATGAGGGGAACCCAGAAATATAGTTGTTTCTCATCTTCGATGGTGTATAGCTTTTAGTCTTGTGCAAACTTTTCTTTGACATGAATTCTTGTGATCTTATACTTATTCTGCTACTTACCTCTCTAACCCACTAGGATAGGGAGGTGTTATGAAAGTATGTTTACCTTGGATGAAATAATCATTTGGGTTTGTAGTTTGGTGAGGATTTTTGTGTGGTGGTTTTCCAATAAAGCTTTACTCTCATGCTCCTACCAATTTCCTTGTCTAGTAAGTATTGGAATTGAGTTGTGAGACTTGTGACTGTTGTGAGTAGGCATTACATGAGATCTCAACTTTACTGGTTGCTGTGCTCAGCATCTTTACTTTGACGAAATACTCCTAAACTATTTGGGTAGCTCAAGTTTAGTTTGGAGGATGTCTTGAACCCATCTAAAGGTCAAGATTAGGAATGGCAACGGGTCGGATTCGGATCGGACTTAATAGGATCCGAATCTGATCCGATTTATAAACGGACTACAAATTCGGATCCGAATCTGGATCCGAGTCCGACTCCGTCCGAATTTCTGACTTCCAAAATGTCGAAACTCCGAATCCAAATCCAGTTATTTAACATCATGAACAATTAAAACAACAGACAAATAATGTAAAATTGATATTCATCCATATAAATTTACAATAAATGCCAAAAAAAAAAAGAAGTATTGCAGTGGAATGATGGACATAGACCACATAGTAATTCATATTATGAAGTTATACTTCGTATAACATAAAAAAAGACAAAAAAAAAAAAAGCCAAGACCGTTCCAATAGAAGTTCAGCAACCAATCTTGTTTAATAATTAATTGGATATCTACTCCCTTCTTGCATGTATTTATTTGCTAGAGATTATCTGATTATAGTGACAAATCAAAAGAATGAGGTGTTGAGAGGAGAGAGAAAGGGGTTACATTGGAGAAGAATCAAAGAAAAAGGAAGGTAGCGGCTGTTTGGGGGAAATGAATTGGTTAGGTTTTATAACCACATATTTATTTTTTGAGTAACAGAAAAAGGCTCATATCGTGTATAATAACAGAAAAAGACCCATATCTTCTAATGATTTGGACTCGGATTAATCGGATCGGAACCTATACATGATCCAAGTCCGCTCCACCTCCTATTTGGACTCGGACTTTTTCTAGCGGACTTGGATTCGGACTTTCTATTATCGGATTCGGATCGGAGTTTATTCATCGGATTGGTTTGGATTCGAATCGAACCCGGAGTAAATTGCCATCCCTAGTCAAGATAGAGTTTCTTTTGTAATTTATTTATTTTTCCCAATATGGAATATGGGTGACCAAACTATAGTAGTTGTATTAACAACGTTAATGTCTATCTTATATGCTGGACATGATGAAATGCATTGGTAGATGGAAGGAACAGCCAAATGTATGCAAAGAGACTTGCCTTAATGACTTCTCTCATGGCGTGAGAAGATTTATATTGCATGACGAGTTGGCCTGATAAGCATGGAGGAGACTGTTGAAATTTAAGTACAGCATCTGTAAAGGGGTGCCATGCATGGCTGAAATTTGCTTTTGATAAACTGTATGGCCAAGATTTTGGATGAGGCTACTTGATATAAATTTGTGCATGGTGATTGGCACTGCTTAGTAATTTCAGGTTAGGGTTTTCAATCTTATCATTGAGCTAGAGCATTGGATATAAGAGGGAGATAATATAGAGAGAGAAAAGTGAGTGGGTGGGGGCTCAACTTTAGAGCAAACATGGGTAAAGGCTAACTGCTAAGTGCTAACTGAATCGAGACACCCTCTTTTGGTAAAGGTAAACTCTAAGCTGGGATGAGGTTATCAACAAGATGATATAAATGAAGGACATGCTTTGTTTCGTATGAAGGTGTTTATGAAAAAATGTTTGTTGATTGAGATATTCTATGAACTTTAAGCACAGTTTTCTACCAAAATGAAAGAACCTAATTCCTAAAGCAGCAAGCTATGCTATTTGGCTTTTCTGTTCCTGTTAATTAAATCAAAGCATGCTTTGTGTCTCGCTTGTATACTTTCTAATTGTACGAAGACTATGAACATATGAACCTTCTCTGTGCATGATGAACATTTGATGTTGTTCTATGATATGCTTTTCTAATGAGAACCCCCACAAAACGATAAAAATCTCATTGAGATGGCTTAATCAAGAATAAATTTTCTCTTTTAGCGATTGATTGAGCATATTTCTGTGTTAGTTATTGCCCAGAACATTAGGCTTGTTGCCCAATCTTGCTTCTTGTGGTTTGCAATTTCTGATGTTAGTCAGGCGCTAAAATTGGGTAATACAATATTGCAGATGGAGAAACAGTTGCAGGCAGAACGTGCATGAAAATGTTGCAGGTTGTTTTATTGCTGTACATTGTGTCATTATGAGATATTATGTTGGAGCTGACCTTCAGACCATTGGCTTTATGGAGTATGGATGTTAGTGACCCTTTCAAACTCCCTTTCAACCCCTGCTGAACTTGAGAGCTCGACTTTTTGCTTTACCCTGTGTGCTTGATTCACTTCTTATACTTGTATAGTACTAGTATGTGATTGTACAGAAAGTCGAAAATCTCTTTTTAGCTATTAATTTTGAAAATGCTAACTCTGCATTTTAGTGATGGAGATTGTTTTAACCTTTGTGGAAATTCCAAAAAAGTTGTATTTTTTTTCTTCCTGTCTTATGTTATTAGACATACAGCATTTAGATAGATCAATTGAGGCTTCAAAGGAAAATAAAATAATGTCATTTTCCAACTTGTAGGTTTTGATTTCGATTCTTATCTAACTTTTGTGCTGTCCTTTAGACCAAGAAGATATCACTTTCGTACTTAGAGGTTGGAGTTTTGATTCTTATCCGAATGTTGTGCTGTCCTTTAATCTTAGTAGACATCGCTTACAATTGCATCGTACATTTTGAATCAACCTATCAACAAGGTAAGAATACTCACCAGACTCAAGAGTGTAAAAGCACAAACAGGTTCATAAATAGCAAAATTGAAATTCAAGAAGAATGAAACATAAATATACTATCAAAGTAACTGACGTACAAGTCCATGCCTAATCAGAAAGATCTGTAGGAAATCCTACTTTTCCACTCAAAGTTACATGATTAGAGTTAAGCAACTATACAAATAACTAATCAAATTAAATCCTCATTAATGATATGAACAGGGTGTATCAGTAGAATATAACTTTTTATCCTCTCCAATTTTCCTGCTTCTCTGAATCTGCACTTTTCTGTCCCCCCCCCCCCCCCCCCCTTTTTGTTGACTAATTGGAACAACATCCGGATTGCTTGACCGCTGATACATCATCTTTGGAGCCAATGTTTATGTTCTGTCCCTTAGGCAATGCTGCTGGGTCATCTCCAATGTCGAGCGCCTTCCTGCTCACAACATGATATATCTGGGATAGAACTTCAGTAAAGGCATTCTCGACGTTCAATGCTTCCAAGGCAGATGTTTCCATGAAGAAAGTATTCTCCCTTTCAGCAAAGCCTTTGGCATCTTCTACAGAGACGGCACGCAAGTGACGTAAATCAGCCTTGTTCCCAACAAGCATGATCACGATGTTGGAATCTGTGTGATCACGGAGTTCCTTAAGCCATCTTTGCACATTTTCAAACGTGACATGGCGGGTAACATCATAGACAACCAATGCACCAACAGCTCCTCGATAGTATGCACTCGTTATTGCACGGTACCTTCATGAAGCCAAAAGATCTAAAGTCAGACCATAATCAACTGAGGACAAAACAATCGAAATTTCATAGGGAAGCAACTGTAGCAGCATCAGAACCAAAGACGGGGAGAATATGCCATGAAGATGGTGCACATTGCTACTCATGCTTATTGATACACTAGCACAAGAACTCGGGCATCCTGCCTGTGAGACGAGGAAGCTGAATGTCCTGTCAAAGCTAATTCTCTGCCTCTTTTCTTTCTAAGAAAACAGTTTTGGCCTTAATTCAAAGCATCATCTTTCTTTCAATCTTGCATATAAAATGTTGAGCTATACACAGCATATAATCAGCTTCAAAAGCCTAATTGTGCCCATTTTATAAGATCATTTCTAAGACACATTAACATGCTATCCCATATAATTTTCCAAATGTTTTTGCTTTACTTGTTAATCGCAAGTACATGACATAGTTTTCAAGCATTCAACAACCATAGCAACAGTGCACCAAAAACATTAGAGATTCTTACAAAACTCGATTCCAAATTACTTGGCTTCCTCGAAAATTTTAACCAATAGCTAAACTTCCCATTGTAGGTGATTTCTAAAAATCCAATCCTAATGACAATATACATGCAAATTAATCCTCAATTCAATGTGCATAGCAGTAAATTGGACAACAAAAGCCTAAGTTTTGTATGTAGCAAATAGCAAAAGCATTACAAATAATCTGTCATTATGAAAATCTCCATTTATACTTTCAAGTTTCACTTGTACGCAAAACACATGCATACACAATACGTGCGCATGCATTCTACATTAGAAGTTTCCTTCGTAAAGAGGTTCTCTTAATATTTTTCTTCTTTTTCTTACCTTTTTTTGTTTCATAAAAAAAAAATGTGCATGCACCCACTTTAAATGTCTAATGCAATTTCTTTGAATGCTTGCACATTTTTTTCCCCTCATATTTTTGATTATTTTTGTATCAATTTCCCTATATGTAATGGTATTATTCATTTCGGAACGTCGCCTTTATGCACAAAACTTAATAAACAAAACTTAATAAACAAAACTCATGTTAAACCTACACCAACGAATTAATTAAATCAATGTGAGACAGAAGCAATACATTAGTAAAAACAAAAATGTGAGCAATTGTTTATGTCACCTTTCTTGCCCAGCAGTGTCCCAAATTTGAGCCTTAACAATCTTATCATCAACCCGAATGCTACGAGTAGCGAATTCGACACCAATGGTGGACTTGGATTCAAGGCTGAATTCGTTTCGAGTAAATCGAGAAAGAAGGTTGGATTTTCCAACACCAGAATCTCCTATTAATACAACCTTAAACAGATAATCATAATCATCATCAGCCCTATATGCCGCCATTGTTATTATTTTTTTCTTTGTATTATTATTTCTCTCTTTTTTTTCAATAATATTCTTGCAATATTCTCTCTCTTTCTATATCTTTTTCTCTACCTTTAACTTCCTGCTTTCGAGGGGGTTGCTATGCTTGCAAAAATGCAAAGTGTAAATGGAAATTATTGAGCGAGAGATTTGCGTGCTTCCATTGGCTGTTTTTGTTTTGTTTGTGGGGTCAAAAGGGTGATCAACAAAATCAAAGATGGATCTTAGATTTTCTTTTTTTGTTCCAAAAAAAAAATTATAAAAAAATGTCCCATAATTGTGTTTATAGTTAAGGTATAATGGAAAACCTAGCCTGGGCTGAGGCCATATTAAAGTTAGAAAATGATGACACGAGTCAAACTTACTTGAATTTAAATTGAATTAGTAAGACCGGATAATGAGCCCAAAGCGTTTAAGGCTGGAACTAACTATGGAAATTTCCGAATAAATTTTACTATTTTCAACCGTTAATTTTTATATGGTGAAATCAGTTAAGTTTTTTAATTTAAGTTTAATTTAATCTTAATGCAGTACTGTGAATTAGTTTTTCGTCAAAGAATTAAACGGAATAATCACAAATGGTATTAATTTTCAATTTCAATCATTGTAAAATAACATACTCCGTACTTGAATCGTTCAAAACAACATTTAATGACTCCAATTGCTTGTGAACCAAACTAATAAACGTAACCTGCTAGAATATGACTTGAATGTGTTTCGCACCACAAGTACACAACAACAAAAATTTGCCTCTTACTAAATTCAAATGTATCTAACACATCGTTCGTGAACCACGTAAATTTAGATGTTTTGTTTGTTAACTCATATTCATTAATAATTTTGTGTGCGGCTGATCGCATCATTTAATTGCTTGTAAAAGAATAGTAACACTTTCCCTAAAAAAAAAAAACAGTGACACTTACCGAGATGACCCATGCTTCCATCCTTAGTGCATCTACTAAACAATTACAAAGGAGTACTTAAAAGATTGTGGATGACCCATATTTTACAATCCTACATCTATATTCTACAATCCAACATTCCATATTTTATGCTTGATCTATGAACCGTGGAAGCGAGAAAGTGGGAAATATACGTTCTCCATTTACAAGGTTTGTTATTTATTTATTTGTTCATTGACAATTTCAATTACTATTTATCTAAATAAAGTACTCCACATACATCGAAATTTGTTACTATTAATTCCATTAAATTGTTCATATTGAACATTGACATTCGGTATACTGATTATTATCGTGTTTTGGTTGAGCATTTATCGAATTTTTACATTTGATTTCTGATTTTGTACTAGTAGTCTAGTACAGTTGTGGAGCAATGTACTACTGATGTATAATTCTTTCTTGAATAATGTTGGATTTATTAATTTTCCAATATTAATAACCTTGGATTGATCATGAAGTGATGAAGGGTATTATGATCGTTTTAAGTGACACTATTATTTCAACCTTTGGCATATACGGAGTACAAAGTATTATAGGAATAAATACTAACTATTGGTCATTGATGATTGAACGACTTGATATATTGGGTAAGATGATTTTGTACTACATTTTTTTGACAATTATATACTATGGAGTATTGTATAGCACATACTATTAGATATTAAAAAAAACAATAAAAAAATTACATGTTAAGATGATTTTTGTACAAAAAAAAAAAAAAAAATCACCTGGTAAAAAGAATAGTCACATACACCACTCTTTTTCATTGGTGGACTATCAGACTTAGCGGTAGATTTTTCAGCACCAAATTCTCCTCAATTAATTGCTCTTTTCATTCTCTCTAACGAGAAACAATATATATTATTAAAACAACCACTTAAAAATCAATTAATTCAGCTGAATATTCTAATTGATACATTTAAATTTTCAACTACCCTTGTGTCAAGACATAGATTATATTGCAGATTATATTGTAACGCTTTTAATAGCGTTGGGTTTAACTGGCTCGCTTCTCCGGCCTCTACGGAGTTAGAGATAGTTGTTATGGATTGGCTTGCTTCCATGCTTAAGCTCCCTACCTCCTTCATATTCTCTGGTATCGATACTCTCCTAATTTCAAATACTACGTGTAAATTTGCATTACATTTTCATACATGTATCATGCTAATTATTCCGATAGAGGGTTCAGAATTATTAGAAAGCTAATTATTCAGCGAGTTCAAGTGATCGGAATGCCTAGCTGAAGGCCGCTTCCGATCAATAATATTAATGTATAATTAATATTACAGCTTAATCTTGGCCGAACCCTTTGGGTCATACCTAATCGATTAACCGAACCGAAACAACGAATTAATCCGAAGGACTAAATGAGTCATTAGAGTATGACGAACAAGACGTCGGATATCGATCTTGGAGCATCGAAACCGAGCGTCGCAAGTCGAGTCGAATTTAGAATTCGACGAGACGAGACGAGAAATCAAGCAAACGACAAATATAAGTTAAGCCGTAGTTTCGCGTTGGCCTAGTCACGCGAAGGCTAGGCTAGCATAGGACACCAACCACATCGCATGGCTATGCCGCAAGCCAAGCATGCATGTGCGTGCTAGGCTTGCTGGTCGAGCATGCTTGCAGGGCTGGTGCACCTGGTCGCACGCATGCTAGCAGCTGGCGCGCCATGCGTGCTAGTCTGCTAGGCCTCGCACTCAGCCGCAAGCATAGCAACAACTAGGTTGCGCCTAGCATGAGCATCGCATCAGCAGCAGCGTGCTATGTGTGCGTGTGTTGTGGGTTGTGCGTGCGTAGAAGCACCTAGCACAAGCAGCAGCTAGCTAGCGATGGCAGCACAGCATGTGCATGTGCTGCACAGCAAGGTTGGCAGCCAGCCATGCCTTGCGCCCATGTCAGCCACAACTTGTGCATGTGGTTGCTCTTGCGTGTGGTTGGCTGTGCGTGTGAAGGCATGTGTGTGTGGGTTTGCTTGGGGAGCAAGGGGAGGGTGGTCCCCCTTGTGGTCCTCACCTAACCTCTTGCTCACTACTTCACACTTGTCGTTTGTTGATTCACTTGCATTTTAATTTGATTTTTGAATTAAAATAAATTGAATAAAATGCATTTTACCAACTCTCCCACATTGATGGGAGATTGGAATTCAAGAGCTCCCTTCCCTATAAATATTAATCATTTGGCATTGGGAAGGGACACTTGAGTGGTGAACTTTAAGGGATCTCCAAGAAGAGGATACCTTAGTTCTAATACTCTAAGTTCTTTTGGTGTAGCCCCGACTAAGTTTCGGGGTAGGGACCGTTCGGTCGGGTCTTGAGGATGAGAGCTGTCGGAGGCTTGCGCATTTGCGGAGCTTTACGCTTAAGTATGAGCTCTTAGAAAGAGCGAAGCACGCATCAAGGGTAAGATCGTCTTTTCTTCTTTCTCTCTCCTTGTTAATTAATTATGTGATTGTTAATTAATTAATATGCTTGTTTAGTTACTTTATTTTGTGTGAAGATTTTGGGAGGGTTTCATTTCGCATAGTGTCGGACACTATGAAACCCAACAAATAGTACATAGCTTGTAAGTGAAAAGAACAATAAAATGTTGTTTTTCCAAAAATTTAGACATTGACAACAAGTTACATTTTAATTTCGGAACAAACACTACTAGAAAACAGGTTGATTGCGACGGAAATTTTTCGTCGGAAACACCTTGTTTTCCGTCGCAAAACCCATTTGCGACGGAATTCCGTCGTAACTGGTTGTCGGAAAAGTTGTTGTCGGAAAAACACCCTTTTCCGACGGAATTTCCGTCGTAAATGGGTTTTTCCAACGGAATTTCCGACGGATTTCAGTTCGCCGAGAACATTTTCAAGCACGGCAAAGTCCCTCGTAAAATTCTGACGGAATTGAATTCCGTCGTAAATGCCCGACGGAATTTCCGTCGAAAAATGCTTTAAAAAAACAAAAAAAAAAAAGCCACCGCCACGCTGTACCAGCCAACGCCACCGCAAGCCGTCACCCCTCACCACCTACCCCCACCTCACACAACCAGCAACTCACCAAGTCACCTAACCCACACTCAACCCCACCAACCGTATCACCACCCACACCAGAACCCTACCCACCAGCCACCTACACCAGATCCACCACCCCACTACCCACCTACAACCATCACCGCCACCTAACCATATTTACCACCCCACCACCCACCTAAAATCACCACAGCCACCACCAAAAATCACCACAGCCACCACCAAAAATCATCACAATCCAGAATTTAACAAAAAAATAAAAAAAATTAAAATCAAAATTGAAAAAAACGAAATAAAACAACAAAATAAAACCCACAAATACGGTCTCCATCCAACAGCCACCACCCACCACCACCATAAATTGTAAAAAAAAATTCCAATAAAACAACAAAATAAAATCAAAATTGAAAAAAAACGAAATACATACCTTAATTAGACCACACATAACCTCGAAATTGGGTTTAAGAGGCCAAATTCGACCATAAAAACTCTAGATCTAGAGTTTTCATGGTCGAATTTGACCCAAAAACCTTTGTTTTAAGCATGAAGAGAGAGAGTAAGGGCGAAATAGATGAATATTATTGTTGATGTTGATGCCGGTGATGGTGTTGTTGATGTTGGTGTTGTTCGTTGTTCGTTGTTGATGGCGGCTATGGTGGGAGATTTGAGTGGAAAGTAGAGTAGAGGAGAGATAAAGAAGGAGAACGAGTGAGATTCAGAGAACGAAAGAAGGAGAACGAATTGAAAGAGAACGAATTGAAAGAGAATCAGAGAGAGGAGGAGTGAGAACGAATTGAAAGAGAAGGGGAGTGAGATTCAGAGAAAGAGAAGGGGAGGAGAGAGAAGAGGAAAGATAAGGAGGAGAAGAGGCGGATAAAAGAGAGGAGTGTTACGTTATTCTAGGGTTGATTTTTTTAAAAAAAAAAAAAAAAAAAAAAAAATTCCGACAGAAAATTCCGTCGTAAATTTCCGACGGACTAAAAATCCGTCGGAAAAAGTAATTTCCTACGGAAATATCCGTCGGAAAGCCCATATATTACGACGAATTTTAATTCCGTCGGAAATTATACCATTTACGACGGATTAAAAATCCGTCGTAAATTTACGACGGAATTTAATTCCGTCGGAAATTTCGTACTTTACGACGGATTTTCTTGTCCGTCGGAACGGTTCCGTCGGAATTAAGCTGTTTTCTAGTAGTGAAATAAAACATCTTTCAAATTAAACCATCACTTAATTTTTTTTTCCTTCTTTAGTGGCCGTAGTACTTTTTCTGTTAGGTAAACCAACAGGTGATAAAATATCACACAAATCAAAAAATAAATTCAAATCACCCAACATATGATTTGATGCTCCGGTATCAATTATCCACACATTTGA